TTCTTTTAATGAATAAGATAAGATTTAAAATAAAATATCAAATAAATAAAATAAAAATAAGATATAAAAAAGTAAACAAATTATATATAAATAAACATAAATTATATCGAATCAAAATTATCAACTGCGATAGATTTACTGTTAAAGAAAAATGAAAATTAAGTCATTAATTACTCACCCCCATGCTGTACCAACCCCGAAAGGCCTTCGTTCGTCTTCGGAACACAAATGAAGATATTTTTGATTAAATTTGAGAGCTGGATCACTGCTACATAGGCTGCCTAAGGGATTGAAACTTGAAATTGATATAAATATATATATATATATATATATATATACACACGTATATTCCATGACCATGTGACAACAGTGGCTCAAGTATAAGTTTATCAAGCGACGAGAATACTTTTTGTGTGAAAAAACACATAAAAATAACGACTTTATTCAACTACTTCTTTTCTTCCTTGTAGGCCTGAGACGAGAGTTCAAGAGAGTCGAATAAAGTCGTTATTTTTGTTTGTTTTTTTTTTCCACACAAAAAGTATTCTCGTTGCTTGATAAACTTATAGTTGAGCCACTGTAGTCACATGGAATATTTAAATATTTTCTTCGATGACTTTCTGGGCCATCAAGTTTCAATCCCTTAGGCAGCCTATGTAGCAGTGATCCACCTCTCAGATTTAATCAAAAATATCTTCATTTGTGTTCCGAAGACGAACGAAGGTCTTACGGGGTTGGTACAGCATGGGGGTGAGTAATTAATGACTTAATTTTCATTTATGGATGCACTATCCCTTTAAATTTTCCCTTTTGTTACCTTGTTACTTGGCTCCAACTTCAAGGCCCTTTTCAGTGTTTGAATGGCTTCAGCAAACTCGCCCTGCAGAGCCAGTACCTGCAGACACAAACACATGTCAGCACTTTATAATCTCAACACATCTCTTTTATTTCCTTCTGGCGTGGCCAGAAACCTGAAAGGAACCAAATGACCGAACAACTCTCGCTGTGTCCAAAACCAGGAGTGCATTACTATTTAATGAGAGTGAGTGAAAATGATATGCATCTGAACCCAGGAAACCAACCTTGCCTTTGCGGAACAGGGCTTTGACATTGTCCGGCTGGTGCGCCAGGACGGAGACGCAGGAGCGCAGTGCGGCTTCATGGTGGTCTAGCTTGAGTTGAGCAGCGGCCATATTGTTGAGACATCTCACCTTCATGTCCAAAAGTTCTTCCTCTTCTTGTTGACTGATATCCACTAAAAGATACCGAACGATTGCAGACGTAACCATAAAATTATGTAGAAATAAACTAAATGAATCATGAATGAGGCAGTCCCACCTCTGAAACTGGCTTCAGTTATCTGTAGTGCGATGCCGTATGAGTTGACGGCAAAGGCGTAGTCGGCGCGCTGGTAGTGGACGTTTCCTCGCTCTCGCTTTCTGTTGGCCAAACTGATTCTCTCCGAGGGCGGCATGAGCTCCAGGTCTGGGGCGTCATCTGCCGACAACAGCTCCACCTCCAGGATGAGATCAGCATCAGGAGGCACAGCCGGAGTAGAGCTGACAGAACAGAGGATGTTTAACATAAAATCCATCATGCCTTGTTACCACTGTGCAGGCTGGTGGTGGTGGTGGAATGGTGTGCGGGATGTTTTCTTGGCACAATTTAGGCCCTTTAGTGCCAATTGGGCATCGTTTAAATGCCACAGCCTACCTGAGCATTGTTTCTGACCATGTCCGTCCCTTTATGGCCACCATGTACCCATCCTCTGATGGCTACTTCCAGCAGGACAATGCAGCTTGAATCATTTCAAATTGGTTTCTTGAACATGACAATGAGTTCACTGTACTAAAATGGCCCCCACAGACCTATCAATATGGGCCAACATTTCTAAAAAATGCTTTCAGCACCTTGTTGAATCAATGGCATGTAGAATTAAGGCAGTTCTGAAGGCGAAAGGGGGTCAAACACAGTATTAGTATGCTGTTCCTAATAATCCTTTAGGTGAGTATGTGTAACAGCACAAGCTAAAGGCTTCATTAAGTTTTTACACAATTTTGTACCATACCATATAAAACAGCAGCATTGAAAAGGGGTTGAATAATTATGACAGCTGTATTAGAAAAAAAATCCTACAACTCAAAAGCATTACGTTATATATTGATGATATTATCACTTTTAATTTGCCATTCAATTATTATAGATGCATTTTTTTTTAAACTCGGTATCTTTAGAAAAGCGTACATTTGTAAATTGTTAGGTCTCCAGGGGGTGAATAATTTTGCTCACAACTGTATATTTAAACTGAAGTCTCTTATGCTCACGAAGGCTGCATTTAAAAGCATTTCTTTTAACATTAAGCAATCGTTTTAACTTTACAATTTTATATCACATAAATAAATAAATAAATAAATATATTGAGAGAGAATCTAACCTGCCAAGGGCACCATACGTGTATTTAGCACCCGCTTCGATCAAAGCCTTTTCGCCCATTTCCATCAGCTGTACAGTGAGATCCAAACCCTAATTAAAACGGGAACAACAAAATATGTTTTTAATCATTTTAATCATCATAACTGAGGGCCCTATACACATATGATAGGTAATATTTAAAAAATATATACTAGACAATTTTCTAAAAATTAAATGTATAATATAATACCTGGAGGACATCCCCATCACCAAGAGTAAAAGATAAATTAGGCAGCTCTTCTACCACCGTTCCATCAGTAAGACTGCTTTTAAGATGAATTGTGACATTTTGGCCTCTTTGGGGTCTGCTGTCAGGACCAGCCCCGGGTTCCAGAACTTTCTTCCTAAGCTGCCCATTTCCTGTGCGTTTAAACAGAAAATGCTTTCAAACCATCATACTTCACTCCACCATCTTTTCATGAATATGCTGTGAAAATATGCCATCAGTCTGTATACTTGTTCATCTCCATTAACTAATGAATTATTGCTGCCAAAATAAACGTACCTAAAACATCCAGCCAGTCTTCCGGTTCTGCAGAAGGGGTTTGATCGGCAAGAGCGTCTGCTTTTGTAGCGTCTTTCTTCTTTCCTCCACCTGCGTCTTCTAAAGGCGGGAGGTCGTCATCCACATCCTCTTCCACATCCTCCAACATTTCAAAGTCTTCACCACTATCGAGCAGCGAGGCACGTCCAGATTTCTTACCCGACGGCGCCACCTCCTGGTTATCAGCCGAGCCATTCACAACCCCACCGTCGGCCATCTGGACTCGCGTTCTGCAGGAGAAAAACAAGTTTCATTAATGTAGATGTTTAGCAGAATATCCAAGCTGCTCTTTTCCATATAATGAAAGTGAATGGTGACCAAAACAATCAAGCATCGTCTCAATTTACTTTTGAATGTCCAAGAGCAGATTTGAAATAAACATCTCCTTTTGTGTTTTCTCCCAGCTATTGTTTAGCATACACAGTACACACTGAGTACACACACTTTTTTTTCTCTGAAAATCTTTAGAGGAAAGGTCAACCCGTGGCCTTATACATACAGTTAAAATCGAAAAGAATCAGCACACATTCGCTGCTTGCAATCTCTGTAAATAATAAACCAACAGCGGTTGAGCTTTAACTACCAATTTCACAAGCATTTCTACTAGTGCATAATATTATATAAGCTTATTTATTGCTTTTTAACATTAAAACAATGGTTGTGTTTATAAGTGTTTATCATACACCCGTTGGCATTGAGCAAGATATTGTTGAAGAAACTGCACCTAGCTTGAATTTTTGGAAACAAATATTGTGTATAGCACTTCCAATTCAATCATAGTAACAAAAAGACAAATAATAAATTATTTGTCCTTTCAAATTAATAAATGATCATATAGAATACAAATCAACATTTACAAATAAAATATAAAATTTACATTACAAAAATACTGTGGAATGATTAGAGTATTTACATTTCATTCATTCACTTTTTGGAAAAGAAACCCTACTTATCATTGGATACTTATAATAATTTGTTGAAATGAAATTATATATTAATGTCCAACTTAGAAGTGTGAAAAGGCTAATTACGCCCTTATAAAAATACTGTGGTGGAACTATTGTACAAAAATTACCAAATATTATTAAATAATTACCTCTTTGACAATCCATATGGTATTGATACTTAATGTATTCGTCATACTATATGGTACTCGAGCAAAAAACAACAACACGGTAATACCATAGTCATTTTTGATGAAATCGTAATTGTTCTAGCATGAGCTAAAACTTTATTATTAAAAATATATCAATTTAAACACAATTTAATACAAATTATAATTGAATGTGCATCTTATAAGTGTACATGACCTGTTGTAATTATAATAAAATTTATTCCTGCAATTTAAGAGCGATCTAATAAGGTCTTGGCGGTTTTGTACTGAATTATGAGTGGGAGAGCATGCATTCATTTTTTTAAAGCATTTTTTTAATTATTTGCAGAAATTACAGCTTTTCCAGAACATTCCAGCAACTTTGGTGACGGGCTCGCGCTCTACAAGCGCCACAACTCAAGTGTTAAGTACAATGAGAAGACACAACTGTGGTTTAAAGGCTATTGTGCAGTAAATATGTTTTGAAAGTGTGGTGAATATGAAAAGAGATGAGAACACTTACCGCAATCTGCTTGGAGCTGCGCAGCACAACTTTGACAACAAAACAAGATCAATCTGTGCAACTTCCGGGTAAAGGTTAACGTTCAATTCCGACAAGTACAAAATAAGAGTCATATAGTCAAGGTCGCTGCAATGACTGCAGGGGACTTTTATATTAAATAATAACTAACTCTCTCTCTCTCTATAAATATTTTTTAAAACAATAAATAAATTTAATGTGCTTAAATAAATTTAATGTGCATAAAAAAATTAATGTGCTTAAAAATTAGTTCATATATATATATATATATATATATATATATATATATTATTGAGTATATTTTGGGGGGTGTTTGTTATTTCATTTCAATAACAAAACGGAAACACATAAAAATATCAAATTACATTTATTATTGATGCAATCATTTCTTTTTGATAAGCAAATTTTCTGGGGATTTTTTTTTTTCTCAGTCTAAAGAAACTTTACAATATAAAGAAACATACAAAGGACATATTTACCTACACAAGACACCTAAGGCCCTAGGACAAAGATCTGAGCTACCCTACTATAAAATACAAAGCAAACCCAAAGGGACAGACTGCTTCATATTGAATACTGCCATGTCGCAAGAAAGGACAATGTAAAATTACAGGAGAAATTTCTGTCATTCCCTTCCCATGACCCTTCCTGCTTCAAAATACACATTTTCTTCTCAAACGTATTTCTAATGTTACAATATTATACATCACAACAGAAGTGCAGAGATGGCCAACAATTGAGCAACTGATTTATTTCTTCCTTCAGAACCCTTATAATTTGATGTAAACCGACTCAATATTCTGTTCAGTATCAAAAGCCATTTCCCTCACACAAACTAAATGTTTGAGGAATTTAAGCTTTGATTGTTATTTACGAAGAAATAGATGCCTGTTGCAGACTTGATTTACAATAGGGGTGAGCGTCGACCTGCAGTTTTTTACAGCAAAAGCATCTCTTTAAAATACAAAAACACAAACAGATTCTTTATAACTTATTTTCAGCTGTACTCATTGGTTGTGACTGACATATCAAAACATGTCAATGATATCAAAATGCATTTTACAGTATTTACAGTAAACCAAAGGTCAGGGGTGAGGGTCAAGAAAGGTTGTGGGCTGCGTACCAGACAAACCAAAAGACAAGCATGGACATCCCTTCAAAATTTACCAGGAGGCTGAGCCTTGTTCTCTCACATGGCCAATATACCAAAAGATCCTGAATACAGTCACTGGACAAAAGGCATTTTTAACTGGGCTGGCAAGATCGAGTGATTTTGAATGTCCCAAAATATTGATTCATATAATTGTAGGCATGAAATGGCAATTATATACAAAGGAGAATCTCACCAAACCTGTCCAAGTCATATTTCACCCCAAATTCAGAATAAATTATTATTGTTAAATACATATTTATATTTTTTTTATAATATACAAATTTTCATTTTAACCAAAACTATTAGTTCCTACTATATTAAAAATAGTTTCATCTATTTTTAACAGTATTTATTTATAATATTTATGATTTTTGTTTTCATAATAGGCACATTCAATTCCCAAGTGTATACTGTAAAGCAATAAAAGCCTTTAAAAAAAGCATTTTTCAGTGAGTCATAAAAAATAAAAAAAATAATATGGGTTTAATGCACTCAATTGATGTCCAAATGTCATAATGCAAAAAAAAAAAAAAAAACCTGGCCTAAAAGATTTTTTTTTACTCATTATTGAGGGGTAAAATGTGACCCAGACATCTTTTCATGTGATTTTCCCTCTTTTGCCATAATCAAATTCCTCATCCACAAGTACGTTGACCGCAAACTCTACATTTGAAGAAAGAGATGGGACCACACATGTGCTTCACAGACAAGAAGTGTATTGAAAATATCAATAAGGTCCATGACCCCCAAAAAAAAAAAAAGAAAAAAAGTTATATTTACAGACATGGGACTATAGAGCACAAGGAAACTCGTGCTTGTAAGAGCAGCCTGCGTCCAACTACTTTTACAAACACGTGGGGTAATATTTCTAAAAAGACTCGCGAAACAACGTGGCAAACACGTAGTGGCAAAATTACAATGAAGTATTGGTGGAAAATCATCGGTAAAAATGTATTTGTCATTGGCTGTTTGTGACCAAGCCAAGGATGGAGCAACACGCAATGGCAGTGAATATGTTTACACTTTGAAATGTACTCCAATCTTTAAATACAGTGCCGACGGGTGCGTTAAACCAGTGATTTAGCCACCTTGTTGACATGGACCCACAATTGAGCTTGTCCATCTCGGTAGTGATGACATCGGTGGGATGAAGAACACAGGAAGAGGTATTTGCAAAAGACACAAAATTCAAACAAAAGAGACAAACAAATACCTAAAATCATGTAAACAGAAGTGTCATTGTGCATTTGAATGTGTGCTTATTCTGTCATTGATGTTGTTGAGATACAAATGTGCCCTTTACAGGAAAATCCATAAAATTATGAGTACATCATCATCATCGTAGCAATTATGAAAATTATAACAATAATATTATCAATAATATACAAATATAGTAATATGAGAACATTCCTGCCCCTAGCGTCACCAGTTTAGCTTTTTCCATTTTAAAATGTACACAGCAATCAAACAACCACTAGTTTCAGTGTTTCATTGCCGAAAGAAATGATCAAACTGGTCTGAAATAAAGCCACCAGCTTCAATGCTGATGAGCAACTAGTTATGAAGTGTCTTCCTGGCACAGTCCCACACACACACACACACACACACACACACACGGTGGTTCAATCGAGGGCCCGATCCAGATACGAAGGTTGAGTCCGTCAGAAGGCTCTTCCTGTGACCCGAGGCCTGCGTTCTTTCGGCTTTGTACTGGGCGTCCTTTGCTCCGCGGCCACACCGACCGGCTGAAGGGCGCCAACCCAGAGTGTTTGAGGGAGTTGTGGGGAGTTGAAGATCGAGCAAATAAAAAAATAAAACACAACAACATGCCGAACGCAGCAGGGACGAGGAGAACGGGAAGTGGGATGGGGGGTACGGGGGTTAAAAAAATAAAATAAAATTAAAAAAAACAAAATTAAAAAAGAAGAATCACACACTCATCGTCATGTTGGGTGAATACTGCAACGAGAAGAGGGGAAGGGGAAAGTGGAGGGACGAAAGGAGTCAATGAGCATTACCGAAAACCAGAAATATCACCCTATATTTAGACATTACAACATTATAATGCACATGTGAAAGAGGAAGTGGTGCAACGGATCATTTGTGCGTCATATTGAGTCATAACTTAGCTTTCAATTTAATATTTAAAGCACACTTAAAGTGATACTACATCAAAAACTACTACCGTAATTAATAAAGTTGAAACATTATTAAAGGAGTAGTTCACTTTTTTTAAAAAAAAAAAACGTTTGCTGATAATTTACTCACCCCCATGTCATCCAAGATGTCCATGTCATTCTTTCTTCAGTCGAAAAGAAATTAAGGTTTTTGATGAAAACATTTAAGGATTTTTCTCCATATAATGGACTTCAATGGGAACCAAACGGTTCAAGGTCCAAAACCGTTGAAAGGGCTTTAAACGATTCCAGATGATTGATAAGGGTCTTATCAAAATGAACAAATCTTTTTTCGTGTCATTTAGTTCATTCAACGAACGAAATGAACGAGTTGACTCGGGAAAAGATTTGTTCATTTAGATGACAGGAGAGTCACGAACGCGCATCACAGAACAGAACAAGGCGAACATTTGATAAAACTTAAACTTTATTATTATTTTTTTTAATGAGCGATCGTTTCGCTTGATAAGACCCTTATTCATCGTCTGAAATCGTTTAAATAATCCCTTTGAACAGTTTGCAGTTTGCACTGAAATTGTCTTTTGGACCTTGAACCGTTTGGTTCCCAATGACGTCCATTATATGGAGAAAAATCCTGGAATGTTTTCATCAAAAACCTTAATTTCTTTTTCGACTGAAGAAAGAATGACATAGATATCGGATGACATGGGGCTGAGTAAATTATCAGCATTTTTTTTTTTTTTAAAGTGAACTACTCCTTTAAGAAACCACTTAACCTAACAATGTCAAAACAAAATGTAATGTTAACCCAAGTTAGGTGCTTTCATAAGTTTGATAATTAATCTGCTAAGTCATGTTTATGACAGGTTGTGTTGTCTTAGTAATGTCAAGTTGTCATGACAAAGACACTGCAGGTTATGATGTATTGGTTTATTTCAAGTTGTCATAACAAAGACATCTCAAATAATGTCATATTTGCATTAAAAGTGTCATAATTGAGTGAATGACACTTAATGAGAGTTCATACCTCCTTCAAACCTCCTTCATATTCATGACGTGTGTCGTGTCATGATTATGAAGGTGTCATGTCAGTCTTACGCACATGGTGTTACCGAACAAATATACTAATTACAAGCATAGATAAATATAGCATAAATACACCACTTAAATGGTTTAAAATGGCCAGAATGTGTTCATTGGCCAAACAAAACCTGCAAATGAAACATTTTCACTGTGATGCTTGAACTTTGAAATTAGTCGGCGAATCACATGTGGGCCTGATCCGTTTGGATAACGTGTTAACTGCGATCCGTTGCACCTTTAGAAACAGGAAAGCAGGGGAGGAGAGATATAGAGTGGTCCGGTGTGACATGAACTTACACTTTCACTTTGGAATGGGTTTAAGAAGTTGCCTGCCATCTCCCCGTCGTCCCGCGGAGTCCCTGGGGGATTGTTCATACCTGCCATGTTGTTCGGAGAGTTCTAGAAATTCAGACCAATGATGATTAGTGACATACACGAAATGGAGGAAACGGCATCCAACAGGAAACGGACGAAAACGATAAGCTAATAATTATTTTCATGTCATGACAATAACTGATAAAAGGCCAATATTAAAATTCTCTACTTTTTTGATTACAAAAATTGAAAAATAAAAAAAGCTTACAAAAAAATGAATAAAACATATGCTATAAGTGATTTAAGCATCACATGATTATATACAGTAGCAAAAGTGGATATTAATTTTGAGATTTAACAGCATTATTAAATAAGGTAAATCTAAACATAACCAAAGCAAAAAGGACAATAAAAAAATATTAATATTCAATGTCAGCTGATACTGATCTATTAAAAAAATATATATAATATTAGCCGATAACCAATATTGTACTGATATTTTGCGCTTTCCTAAATTTTTAATTCACATCAGTGTTGTTATTATTAACTAAAACTAATTAAAGGGATAGTTCACTTTGAAATAAATTTTTTAGTTTTAAAACATTTTAGTTAACGTTTTAGCTTACCTCAAGAGCATCCAAGATGTAGGTGTGTTTGTTTACACAGTATTTTTAATTTTGATATTTTTAGGTCAAACCGTTCTTGTCTGTCAGTCATATAATGGAGGTCTATGGTCACCACCTCAAAGAGCATGCACAGAGAAGTCCAAATTAAACATGATTTTATGACTCGTAAATGTAAGTACACATTGATGGCATAAGACACGAAACGAGCGGTTTGTGTTAGTAAACGAACAGTATTTATTTTGTTTTTACCTCTTTTAACAGAGGTAAAAAGGAGAGGTAAACAAGAGGTTACAAGAGGTAAAAACGATATAAATACTGTTCGTTTTCTCACACAAACCGCTCATTTCGTGTCTTAGGCCATCAATGTGTACTTACATTTAAGAGTCATTAAATCATGTTTAATTTGGACTTCTCTTTGCATGCGCTTTGAGGTGGTGACCATAGACCTCCATTATATGACTGACAGACAAGAACGGTTTGACCTAAAAATATCAAACTTGAAAATACTGCGGAAACAAAGATCTTGGATGCCCTTGAGGTAAACTAAAACATACCAAAAAAATAATTTCAAAGTGAACTATCCCTTTAAAATAAAACAAAATGTAATTATTTAAATGAAAAACATAAGAAACTTAAGAAAACGAATATGAAACTTGAAACTATAGAAATCTGGCTTTGTCAATTAACTGAAATAAGTATTTAAATTATGAAAAATGAAATAAAAAATAAAGCTAAATAGAAATATTTTTAACAAAATGAATAAAAAGGACTAAAACTTAAACTAAAATGAAAACTGAAAATATTCATAAATAGTAGATAAATAATATATATCTCACCTTTGGCAACCCATCCATATCACCCGAGCCTGTATTCAAAAGCAGGTAAGCGTAAGACCATTAGAAATGTTTGCTATTTTGTACATATCAGATGATGTATGACGAAGTCTCACCTAAAGACCCGTTCATATGGTGCGGCTCCATCGCTCCCATTCCACCCATTGGACCGTCGGGCCCCGGCCCCATTGGGAACTGCAGAAACACAGATCCTATTAGCCTCCAGTAAATCAACAATGATGCTAAAACTACAAAACCCTTTTTCATACTCCATTAAAACATCATCTTACGTTCGGTCTGTTGCCACCAGGGCCGATTGGATTCATCATCGTGTAAATGTTTTCACTGGAATTCGTCGAGTCTACAAGAAAACAGATTTCTTAGCGTTTCACTGGGAAATTCTCCTCAGCAAGCTGATGCATTTACACGCCGTTTCCCAAAACAAGAGCTTTCCGTTTTAAGATACTTTCCAGTCACTATTGTTATGAACTTTCAATGAAACAAAAAAAAGACTGATATGAAATTCCAGATAAAATCCTATGGATTAGATGAAAGCAAACTGACCTCCTGGGCTTGGCATGATGGGAGTTCCTGGAGGCCCGCCACCTCCTGGAGGCCCCTGAGAGACGAGCACATAAACCGATTACTCACAAAGAACATTTCCGACAAACGGAGAGACAAAATCTTGTGCGTTTGACTCACCACATAGTTTCCTGGTGATGAAGATGAGTATGCTATCTGTGGGAAGAAGAGATAGTTACGAAGCCGTTTCTCAGAGTTATTGCGATATTGACATTTTTGGAAGTGGCACTTACTGAGTTTGCGTTAGGATTAGGCCACGGCCCTCGACCTCCCGGACCCCTGAAAACACAAGAGGAAATGTTAAGGTGCGTATAAGCGGAGCAGAGACAGTGTAAGCGTGTTATCCTGTGGCGTTGACTCACATGTTCATGCCAGGCATTCCAGGACCGCCGAGAGAATTCGGAGGAGGCCTCATTCCACCGCCGTAGTTCTACAAAAAGGGATGGCAAAGGTTAACCTACATATGAAACAAGTTATAAATTAATAAGCATGACTGTTTTATAGAAAGGAACATCAACCAACCTGTGGGCCCATGCCTCCCATTCCTCTGGGTGGGTTCATCCTCATTGGGCCGCCCATGTTTGGATGTCCTGATGGGGAAGAGGAACCACAACACTTTTATAAAATGCCATAGCAAAACATTTTTCAAACACAGCTGGTTGTTAAGTCTATGGTGCAGTGTGGTACCTTGCGGTCTGGTGGGGTCCAAACTGTTTGGCAGGAGCGGCTGTGACCCGGGGACTCCAACGGGAGGCTGAAACCAAGAAAGAGAGTATGAAACAAGAGCCAAGCAGAGAAAACAGCAATAGCGAAACGCAAAAATGAGGGGTCGTGGGTGGGGTCAGTACCTGATTTGGCATGCGGAGTGATGGGCGGGGTCCGCCTGGGTACCGTGGAGACATGAAAGGCTATGGGGAGACAGCATAGGATCAGTAAATCAAAAGACAAGGTGTCATTAGGACACTACTTTAGGGCTTCCCACATTTTAAATAGTTAACTTAGCCCTGGGTTATTATAAACCGTTATTATAAACTTTAAATAGTTAATTTAGCCCTGGGTTATTATAAACCGTTATTATAAACTTTAAATAGTTAATTTAGCCCTGGGTTATTATAAACCGTTATTATAAACTTTAAATAGTTAATTTAGCCCTGGGTTATTATAAACTTTAAATAGTTAACTTAGCCCTGGGTTATTATAAACCGTTATTATAAACCTGGGTTATTATAAACTTTAAATAGTTAACTTAGCCCTGGGTTATTATAAACCATTATTATAAACCTGGGTTATTATAAACTTTAAATAGTTAACTTAGCCCTGGGTTATTATAAACCGTTATTATAAACCTGGGTTATTATAAACTTTAAATAGTTAACTTAGCCCTGGGTTATTATAAACCGTTATTATAAACCTGGGTTATTATAAACTTTAAATAGTTAACTTAGCCCTGGGTTATTATGAACCGCTATTATAAACCTGGGTTATTATAAACTTTAAATAGTTAACGTAGCCCTGGGTTATTATAAACCATTATTATAAACCTGGGTTATTATAAACTTTAAATAGTTAACGTAGCCCTGGGTTATTATAAACCATTATTATAAACCTGGGTTATTATAAACTTTAAATAGTTAACTTAGCCCTGGGTTATTATAAACCGTTATTATAAACCTGGGTTATTATAAACTTTAAATAGTTAACTTAGCCCTGGGTTATTATGAACTGCTATTATAAACCTGGGTTAAAATAAACTTTAAATAGTTAACTTAGCCCTGGGTTATTATAAACCTGGGTTATTATAAACTTTAAATAGTTAACTTAGCCCTGGTTATTATAAACCGTTATTATAAACCTGGGTTATTATAAACTTTAAATAGTTAACTTAGCCCTGGGTTATTATGAACTGCTATTATAAACCTGGGTTATTATAAACTTTAAATAGTTAACGTAGCCCTGGGTTATTATAAACCATTATTATAAACCTGGGTTATTATAAACTTTAAATAGTTAACGTAGCCCTGGGTTATTATAAACCATTATTATAAACCTGGGTTATTATAAACTTTAAATAGTTAACTTAGCCCTGGGTTATTATAAACCAATATTATAAACCTGGGTTATTATAAACTTTAAATAGTTAACGTAGCCCTGGGTTATTATAAACCATTATTATAAACCTGGGTTATTATAAACTTTAAATAGTTAACTTAGCCCTGGGTTATTATGAACTGCTATTATAAACCTGGGTTATTATAAACTTTAAATAGTTAACGTAGCCCTGGGTTATTATAAACCATTATTATAAACCTGGGTTATTATAAACTTTAAATAGTTAACGTAGCCCTGGGTTATTATAAACCATTATTATAAACCTGGGTTATTATAAACTTTAAATAGTTAACTTAGCCCTGGGTTATTATGAACTGCTATTATAAACCTGGGTTATTATAAACTTTAAATAGTTAACTTAGCCCTGGGTTATTATAAACCATTATTATAAACCTGGGTTATTATAAACTTTAAATAGTTAACTTAGCCCTGGGTTATTATGAACTGCTATTATAAACCTGGGTTATTATAAACTTTAAATAGTTAACTTAGCCCTGGGTTATTATGAACTGCTATTATAAACCTGGGTTATTATAAACTTTAAATAGTTAACTTAGCCCTGGGTTATTATAAACCCTGGCTTAATAGAACCCTGTGTTATGATTCACATTTCAAACTTGTCATAAATTACCCAGGGTTAACAATTAATCCTGGATGTTCATATGCTGATAGATCACACTTTACATGCCTAACCCCTGGGTTAACAGTCAGTGTCATTGATTGGACGAAAATAACCCGGGGTAAAGCGCGGGGTGAAAAGCCCTTTTGTTTAAAGGGGTGATGAACTGAGAAATCAAATTTTCCTTGAGCTTTTGACATCTAAAGGCCAATTTTTACTTCTGCGTCGAGGGTGCGCTGCAGTGTATGGCGTAGGCTACGCACGTAGGCAACGCCGTCGTGAGCATTTATACTTCTGCGTTCAGGTCTTGGTTGCTCTGCAGTACTGCTACGAAACACTAGTTGGCGGCGGAGGGTTTTAATGTTCCACTGTGTTTAGATTCCTCGCGGCTAGGTTACAACAAGCAATGGCGACTGAAAGAGAGCGGATCATGTTGGAGTTGGAGCTAATTGAGGTGGAAAAACAGTTCATTTTAGTGAAATTACTAAAACTAAAAGGCAGAAACGAGAGAAGACGTCGGAGGAGATGGTACATGCGGAAATGCATAGGAGGAAATGCGATGCTACCAAGCCGACCAATCACAGATCTTGCGGTCTGCATCGTCGTGACATGTAGTTACATTTTTGAGGAGGTATGGTACGCGTCGGTGCGTATGCTGCGCCGTACCGACTGCCCACATCCTACGCAGAAGTATAAATTGGCCTTAAGAGGTCATCATATTATAAGAATATCCTGTAAGTTTCAGAACTGAAAACGTCCGTGTTAGTCCAGTAAAAAGCTTTTATTGACACCAGGCTCGGCAAACGACTCGTTTTTCAAAGTGGGGAACTATGACGTCAAAGAGGATAAAACACCACCCCCGCAGAAGAAAATCAACACCTACTTCAACACGGCCGGTTTAGCCCCGCCCATCAATTCACGCATTACACGGATAGCTAAATAACATAGATGCCTACCTCGTGATGACAAACCAGATCGAGAGTGAAACTCATTATAATATGCAAAACTGTTATCCACTCACAGCAGTGGGCGTTTACTACCAAGTCTTCAATGCGAGACGCCCATAAAAACCGAGCGTTTTTGAGCTAGGCTCAAAACTAGGGTAGAAAATAGCCTATTTCTTATTCATTTTGATGTTTTATAATGTAAAAACCAAGTGAACGTCATAAGTTGACCTCAGACGACAATATAATTTTTTTTAAAAAGCCAGTTCATGACCACTTTAAAACACAGTATCCCGCTTCTGAATTCGTCAGATCATATTCCTAAACTGTACTTGATAGATAATCATATTCTCTATAACTCAGATGATTATACTGGGCTGTCCAAAAGCAATTTATAGTATCTTATGGATTTATAATTTCACATAAAAGAAAATGTGGCAACACTTGTATTTAGCAGTGTCCTCCTTGTTACATTGTAGTTCCTATAGTTGTAGTTTATAAATTATACATAATAATTACAGGTAACTAACCCTAAACCAAACCCTAATCTTGACTTGATAAGTACATGTAGTTGATTATTTTTACTCCGCACTTTAATGTATAATTACACTAACACAGACACCTTGAAATAAAGCGTATAGCATATAGCACATAGTATTTGAGATGCACAGTACAACGGTTACCAGCAGGGGGCGCAATCACACTACCAAAAAGACATCAGTTTGAGCCTAAAGGAAAGACCTCATAAACATTAGTTCTCTACACTGACAAGGGGAGGCTGCTGCTTTCACATTGTTTAACAGAGGAAACCTATGGTATTTTAAACAAGAAAAAAAAAAAGCTAGAAAGAGCTTCACAGAAAAGCAGAAAGACAGAATGACACCTTGGTAAACATCATATCCTAATCAGGCATGGAAGAGAAAAGTTACAGCAACAAGTAATTTATCTCTCCACACTAAAAACAAAAATGCTGCCTGATGCCACAATCTCGGCCAATATGAACATATTTGCACATTCATGCTTCACATACAGCTCAACCAATGAGATTTTACTGTGGGTGAAGACATCCAGCATAATGTCACAGAAACAAAGCAACCGGTAAAACGATATATCGATCGAAGCTTGATTACATCACAGAGCAATAAGTAATTTCACAGGCTTTGATCCAACAACCATTAGGATTGACCCTCCTTGTTCAAACTTGGTTCCCGCTCCATCTAGCTATGTTCGCTCCAAGTTGCAGCAAGTTTGTGTACTCAGAAGGGTGTGTTGGTGTTTGCGTATTTGTGTTTGAGTGCCTGTGTTTCTGCTTGCATGTGTCAACGCAAGAGCATGTTTGTGTGTGTGTGCGCATTCTGCATTATTAATAGGATATTGATGGACTATGAAGGACTGAGTGCAGGGTGTAGGGAGGGACCAGTCTGCAGAGTCCCAGCTAGATGAACTTCCACTCCTGATGGGCTGGGCCACGGCCTGCATTATTTATCTGGCAACATCGTCACTGTCAGTGAGGAATATGTGCGTGTGCGCGCACGTGTGTTTTCTAAGAGACTGATTTGTGCTCTATCTAGGGATGGGTCAAGATGGCAACCAGTCATTCAAAAACTGGACTAGATTTTTATTTTATCCTTAATATAATATAATTAAATTAGAGTCTAATTAGAGTCTAGTATACAGTCAAACCAAAATTCTCTCACAATATCACAGTTTCTTTGAGTTCTTGTCATATTTTATTACCATTTTCTAAAATATAGCAGAGTTATCAAATCAGTTGATATTTTACTGGTTTTGGACATCCTTCTGTTAGACTGTCTCACAAACGAATTAGGCTGTACACAATTAGATAATACCAATTTAGGTCAACCAATTACCAAGCAATGCTTAATTTTGTTCAGTCTGTGGTGTAAAAGGGTCGCTTTAGCAATTAAAGCTTTTATGTTTATCAATTTATGTTTATAAATCTTACTGGTAGTCGACTCTATGAAGAATCTTTGGGTATAATATGTCACAGATCACTTTATTTTGCTATCCTCATTTACATAAATGAACTATAGAGTACTGCACCCACTAGTAAAAAATATTCAAAATGAATCAGATTAGTAAGGTTGGGTAACGAACTCTGTACTTATAATTAGGGTTGGGTATCGTTTGAATTTGAACGATTCTGATTCCGATTGCGATTCCTTGTTTCGATTCCAGCTCCTAACGATTCTCGATTCTGATTCTTTTAAGAGGCTGGGTCAAAAAAGTTTAGCTAACCTTGCTAACCAACGGCCTTTCTGAAGGAAATAATCCTTTCTGAAGGAAATACTCCTTCTGTAAAAATACTCCTTTTGTCACAAATTTTGCATTTTGCCGAGATTTCGTTATTTTTAGAAAAGTGAAGCCACACTTTGGATCGCCGACGTAAGGTACTCATGTTCGCGTGGTTATGCCAACACTTCCGGTAGACGCTTCTTCGTTGGTGTTGTTCAGCGGTTTCTTCTTCCGCTCGGCGGACTGTGAATATCGAAACTAGGAATCGAAATTTTAACTTTTGAACGATTCCGGGAAAAACGAAAAGTTAGTCTCGGTTCCAATCGATACTCGATTCTCGATACCCAACCCTACTTATAATGACACCGACCGAATGACATCGGTACTACAGAGTACCGATTAACATTAAGTCAATTAGTGCCAAATTTCGATACCTGAGAATGGATCTGGGTGCGAGACTAAGACTATTAAAAAACGAATCCTGCATGTTCTGCGTGCCTCTGTGTGAATGAATGGCGCTGTTTTCAGCCTCTGCCATCAATTTAGATCATTCTCAATTCTCAATCAAATCTTTATAAAGAGTAATAGAAAATGTCCTCCATGTTTTAATTTTAACAGTATAAAGCTCAGTTGTGCAGCATGATTAACAGATAATGAAATTAATATTTTTTTGATTAACACTATATCCACAACAGAATTTGTGGAAAACAAAACATTTCATAGAAATTTTGAATTTTTTATTAAAATAGTTTTTTTTTTTAAATTAAGTAGCTGTAGCCTACTATTTACAGGTAAATATTACAGTATACAAACATCACAGACAATGGCAGAGAGCGACCAAGGCAGCTCTGACACAATGTCAATAACACTTTTATAAATTACTTAAAGCTTCTTTACAGTTATTGAGGTAAACATGCCTAAAGTACCAAAAAAAAAGGTACCTGCACCTTATTTCATGTAGCGGTACTGGTATGGATAAAAAGTGAACGGTACCCAAACCCTACAGATTAGGAAACTAGTCATTTCCCCATCAACAAGTTGACTCTTTTTTTTTTTTTTTGTAAAGTCTGAAGTTTTGGACACTACTAGATCTAGCTAGTGAGGGAATGCAACGAAGAAAAGAAGAATGGAGGGGTGAATTTTAACACTCCTGAAATTTTAAACTATACCCAACATGTATCTATTCCTCAGGTTATCTGTGAGGAAGTACAAGAAAACGGGGAAGTCTTACCTGACCATGGGGCCCCATCATGGGGTTGTTGGGGTTGTGTGGAGGGGGCTGTGCATGAGGCGATGGTTGTGACCCAGGTGGGCCCTGAGAAAGCGGGAAAAAAACAAACAGTTAGAGATATTACACTCGACATACCATTAAATATGTGTTTGCTATGGTAGGTTGACCAACAAAGTCTTGCTGGTTAAGATTAGGTTAAGAAGAAGTTGATTCCGATGGTCTCTAATAACAATGCAGCCCCTAGATTAGTAATAAATCCACCATTTATCTGCCAGCAAAGGGCATCTCCAACAGGGCTGGGCAGCTGCTGAACCCCAAAACAGATACACCACAAGGCCTCCAATGGAGTCCATTATTGGTAACCGAGAGAGGCATATGGCCTTTACCGAGACGCCTGTTCCTGCACCACATCCCTGTAGAGAGCAACTGAGGAATAACTTGGGCTGGATTGTGTGCGTGTCTTGGGTGAGGAGTGGGGGGGTGGGTATGTTAAATGAAGCAATTAATAAAATCATTTTCTACCCAGCTAAGGAGATAACGGCTTGGCACCAAACTACAAAACCATTAAGAGTAGCCCCTCCCGTCGAGAAAGGGAACGGCATATAGTATTCCTAGCGGGACAGTGGCATAGAGGACAGCAGCAACCACAGAGTCCAAGCGTTTCAGAGAAGCAATGGTGCTTCCCAACCAAAAGGGGGCAGTGTGTAGCCACTTGCCGAGTGACTGCCGGGACACAAAGTACCAAGCAAAACAAAGCATGGAACAGCAACACAATGCATACTTCATTGTTGTTTCTGTGTATATTACAAATAAATAATTTTACCACTTTTTTGGCGAACGGCGCGGGATTGAGCAATTTGTGTGGTTGATGGTGTTCTGCTTCAGAAAGGTCTTGGAAGTAATTATTCTGATAAGTGCAGCGGTCACAGAATCTGTCAATAACCGAGATGATAAATGCAATGTGACATACCATACAGGATGTAGATGTCATTAAAAAGATCTAGTTGTCGAATATTTCAAGAAACCTCACAAACCTGTGAGCACCAGAGAGGTACTTTGACTTTAAAGTCACCCCTAATGAAGCAAACAATTTATTTAGATTTTTGTGCAAAAGGTGCAACTGTCAGGAAATTGAGACAATAAATATAATATAGTATACCAAATAAAACGTAGATGTCAAAAATGTCAACAAATCTCACAAAACTGTGTGGACTTTAATCTCAAAAGTAACTGAAAATGATGGAAACAAGGAACTCTCAACTCAATCACAACCATCCATAAGGAACATCTTGGGAAGGTAGACAACGTAACTCAAAATAGAAAGTATACTGAGATTTGCTTGAGTATAGGGACATGTCTACATCAACAGGACAACAACAGTGTATAATGCTAGGCTTATGTCTATGTCCCAAGACTCCTACACCTCGCAGCAAGTCAGAACAAGATCCTCCAGTCCTTTTAACCTTGATGGAACTCTCCCTCTCTAGAGTCTGCCAGTCTTTCACTTTTCTCAGTGTTCTGTTGGTGTTCAAGAGGTTTTTTTTGTGGGAGAAGGGCAGTTGAAATTCTCCCACCACCTTCCCTCAAAACAAACTCATCCATTTCAGATGTTTCCAGCTAAAGTTGAAACTATTTCTTTTTTTCCACTCCTTGACTTTGCTCGCTCCCTCCCTGCCTCCCTCTTGCTAGACTGTCCTCCCAAGAAGAGCTGGTGCAGTGGAGTTTCGACATGAAGATTATTGAAGAGGCCGACCCCGTGCAATGGGGGGAATAAAAAAAAAAGGAAAAAAATTAATACAAAATTTCCAAGATCCGGGCCAGACGCCAGCACGCGAGCTTTGGGTTTCTCTCCCTAGACTCTCTTCCTTCGTGCTCAATCTCTCTGCAGGAGGTTGCTGGGAGTCTGGGCATGCGAGGTACAGATTAGGAGAGTCTGGAGAGGGTGTACAGGAGGGTTTAGTCCTCTTCACCTTCATCCCCATCTCGCAGGACCATGCTGTTCATACGGCAGCAACTGTGGTCGCATGTGTTAATTATCGCCGCTACATCTGGAGCTGGGCTAGAGACACAAACAGAGGCTCAAGCGTACACGTTTTGGCTGCATAGCTCCACTACCAAAATGCTTTTTAAACTTAACAGAGTACTACTTACTTGAGTACCAGTATTTCTTACAGAATTGTTTTTGTCCCCCTATTATTGTTGGACATTAGCCTGGTTAAAACCAGACCATTCTCAGTTTTAACTGAGATATGGTCTGGCAAAGTGTCATAGACAAATCATTTCCAGAGGGGCGTCACCAGCGGACGTCGCGGGAAGACCTAAAACCAATCAGAGCGATGAAGGAGATGACGTATGCCGAGCTGCGGCCGGCGGAGAAACATCTCCGAGTGTTGTTCCTTGCTCGGTTTTTCACAAAAAGGAAACGTTCAAATCGCTTAAAAACAGACGCGATAGCTGATTCGAGCGAGTGATGTTCGACGGCGGCGTCCATCTTTGTAATGTAGGCTACAAAATCTGCTCGTCATCGTGTAAAGCCCGCCCCAACGTTTCTGATTGGTGCCGCGATTTCTGCGGACTGGAAATGGGTTTGAATGAGCTCTTTGCCAGATTAACTTTTAGAGCAAATCTAAATTTGCCGGAAGTTGTCTGGATTTTCCCAGGCTAGTTGGACATGCCTTATGGCGCTTTTCCACTGCATAGTACGGTACGGTTCGGCGCAGTACGCTTCGACTCGGAGCGGAACAGTTCGGTTCCCTTTGCGTTTCCACTGCAGTAGTACCCCTTCAAAGTGTGTGGGACTGATCGTTATTTGCGCGCGCCTCTACTGCCATGACATCATCTTAAAAGCGCCACATTTTCAAACCCACAACACAGGAACAATGGAGACTATCGAGGGGATGGTGTTCCTGATTCTCGGTATGTGGTTGTTTTTAACTGCTAGACGGAAAAATGTGTTTAAAATGAGGCTGATGGCAGCAAAACAAAAATACTGCTAAAAAAGTGTCTCGTGTCGCAAATCCAATGACGCTAGTAGTGACGCTGGTAGTGACGATTCTGTCTGACCAATCAGTGATCTGCAGTGTTTCACGTCACATTTTAGTACCGGTACGGTACGCTTGGAACCTCAACAGACCAGGTACCATTTAAAGCGTCCTGAAGCGAACCGTACTGTACCGTACCATGCAGTGGAAAAGCACCACAAGTGAGCCGTACCGAACCGAACCGTACCGTACTATGCAGTGGAAAAGCGCCTTAAATGGTACGATGTTCCACAAGTTAGTCAAGTGTTTATTCACTAACTGCGGTTGACATTCAGTGAGTTGTTCATTAGAATGCTTCAAACTAATAACTCGGGAGTTTATGAGACTTTTTGATTGAATCACTAAAATAAATTATGTCGGCGCCAATAGCCCAATGGTTAACGCGCCGACATATAGTGCAACTCTGGCGACCCGAGTTAGATTCCCAGTTTGAGGTCCTTCCCCTCTCTCTCCACCTCATGCTTTCCTGTCAAAAATCTCTACTGTCCAATCCAATAAAGGCACAAAAAGGCCAAAAACCCAACTTGCAAAAGGAGGCGACAGACCACAAATGTCCGATTTTTGATTATGACTGCAGAATCAGCATGGATCACAACCTGTTCCAATCACAATTCTATTCAAAATAGCTAGAAAAAGAGCAGCTCCAATCATTAGCACAACTGTGTCCAGCAGCCGTGGCCGACAAGAGTGGGAGGAAGCAGTAGTTAGCTGTTGAGAGGTGTGAAAGAGTGATATACTGGCCACTAGGATATACGCCAAGATATAATTTGTGTCACCAGACCACAGCAACTGGTCGCGTGGAATCGGGGAGCGTACAAGGAACGCACGTGGGCCTGGAGGAGCCTGTCTTTTTGCAATTGTTGCCTCATTGCCATCTCTCTCTTCCTTCTTTCATTTTCTGTCTTCACTCTCTCCATGCCTCTCTTTTGCCATGCCCTGGGCTGCTACCAAGAGGGAATTACTGCAGTGGAGCACAAAGTCCTCCCTCTTCTTCCCTTTCTTAGTTCTCTCTCTCTTTCTCTCTCGCTCTTATGCACACAGGCGCTATTTATAGAATGCAATGTCACTCACGCAACAGTCAGATCGCTCCCTGCTCTGAACACGGCTCATACAACATTAACACTGTCCTCCTCGATTCAAAGTCCATGTCCATGTTCTATCTTCCAATCCATGTGATGTTCTACCTGAAGCTCATCTCAGCATCTGCTGCTTTTAGGATGCTCTATCAGCGATTCTCCTAGACAATCTGCAACATTCTGAATGTATTATTGTCACCTTGATCTATTCTATAGGATGCTCTATCAGATGATGTATCTGCCACTCTATCTTATCTTGACATTCTATCTACTCTATTGGATGCTCTATCTAACCTACTGTTCTACAAGATCAATTTGCTGTTCCGGCCTACTATCTCCCTCGGATCCCTGATCTGCAGCTCTATCTGATCTTCTATTTGATGTTTTATCTAACCTATCTGATGTTTGACAAGATGTTAGACACTGTATCAGATCTTGTGTTATATACACACATTCTATGGGATGCTCTCTCTGAACTACATGATGTTCTACTAGATGTTCCAATTTGCTGTATCTACTCTTCATTGACTCATTTGGCTCTTCTATCTGCTGCTCTATCTGATCTCCTACATTCTCTATCGGATACTTTATCTGATGTTCGACAAGATGTTAAATCCACTGTCTCAGAATTTCTATCCAATGAACCTTATGTTATGTACACTCAAAGGGACCCTCTATCTTCCACTCCATCTTGTCTTCTATCTGATGTTATCTTGTATTAAAGGTAGGGTTTGGGATTTTCAAAACGGCCGGCAGATTTTGAAAATACAACTCAAAAGGTCCTACCTTCTTTCCTCCAACACTGGCCCTGACTCCACCCATTCGAAGAACATCACACAATCATACATCTGCAAAACTCAGATGCGCGAGATTGTACCCTCTCTCTGTACAGGGGCAACTTTCACTTTCTGTGACTGGGTCACAAGCTTTGCGTATGCTCACGAAGGGGACACGAGCGCGAGGGGGATGGGGGGGGGATGGTACGACCGTTTGATTGACGCAATAACAGTCCAATGATTCTAGGTGGTCTTGGAAATGATTGGCTGAAGTTTTTCGAGTCCTGGCCATTCCACAGATAATTAAATTACGTGTTTTTGAAAAAATAGTCAAAAAAGAAAATCACATACCCCACCTTTAACTTATCCTTTCTTCCACTGATTCTTTAGGATCCTCTATCAGCTGCTCTATCAAGTGATCTATCTGATCTACTCCATCAAATGCTTTATCTGAAATTCAACGATGTTAAATCCATTGCGTTCGATTTTTATCTTATGAATATTATATATGCTCTGTGGATGCTCTATGACCTCCTTGCTACTCTTTGTGATACTCTAAGCTTTCCGATGTTTTACTACATGTTAAATCCACTGATTCACATCACAGTCTTATGCATTTCATTTTTTGACGATCTACTAGGTATACTGTATAGTCTGCTCTATCTGCCATATACATAGAGTAGATACAACATAAGATACATTGAATTAGGAACGCTGAAATAATTAATAAAGATTATTAATTAGGGATGCAATTTTTTTCGAACAAAAATTTTCGGCCGAAAATGGCCCAAAAGTGCATTTTCGGTTTTCGGCCGAAAGACTTTTATCACCGAAATAATACGGCCGAAATGTTGTGATGACGCAAACAGAAACCGCGACCTGCACGTGCTTGTCTGAAGCAACATGGCTGCGGTGTGGACGTATTTCAGTGTATCTGAACCCGCGATTAGACGGAAGCCTTGTTTATCCTCCTATAAACAATGCGTGCCGCCATGACGACCACTCCGGTTCCGAGCGGGTCAAGAGCGGTGCGCGCGCTGTCTGTGGAGACACGCGCTGCGGAGGCAGGCGAAAGTATAAACAAGGCAGCGCGAGTCTCCACAGACAGCGCGCGCACCGCTCTTGACCCGCTCGGAACCGGAGTCGTCGTCATGGCGGCACGCATTGTTTAGAGCAGGAAACAATTAAAAATTATAAATTAGACTCGCGCTGCGGAGGCAGGCGAAAGTAAACAAGGCAGCGCGAGTCTCCACAAACAGCGCGTGCACCGCTCCAAACGGTCGAGGCGTTTATACTTGACGCGCTCTCCGTTGTAACTGTTACTATTCCTTGAAACGACAGGGACGACTCAAGTAACTGTCCTCTAACCATCAGGAATCGGCGAGAAGAAGACAGATAAATACATGACAATGTTTATTTTTTAGTATTCCACCACCAATACAAAAATAATCATGTAAAGTAAAACCCAGTAAACCCTGAGATTATTACTTGTGACATTACAAAAAAAAAAATATGTATATGGGAACATGTATAGAACTAAATTAATGCTCTCTTAAATATTTTCTACATTCACTAAAAATGTTTCATTAAGTTTCATGTACATTTGTATTAAACATGGACCATTGTTCATTTAAAAAGGCTTTTTATGCTATTGTGTGCTACATTTTTTAAAATGTAACTAATTTAGACCTGCAAACTGGGTGCTAGTGATGAGAAGTTTGCGGTTGGCTTTGTTTTTGAGAGAACATTTCATTTTAAAACCTTTCTGCAGGCCAGTAGATTATTATTTAGTGCACACATGAGTGGGGTCAAGTTAAACATTTTAGTTTGAATTTTATTTTATACTGTGCATTGTGCTAAATATATATTTGCATAATTTGTAATTGATTTATTCTTTGAAAATGTTATATTAATTTATGCAATTGCAATGCCTTGATTTTAGTAAAGTTTGTACACAGTCATAGCCATAAATACAATGATACTAATAATTGGCATAATTTCTTTCGGTGTTTCGGTTTTCGGCCTTGGTTTCCTCTTTTTCGGTTTTCGGTTTCGGCCAAGAATTTTCATTTCGGTGCATCCCTATTATTAATGCATAGAACTAGAAGAACAGAGATAATTTTTTCCTGTTTTTTCACATGCACAAAAAAAAAAAGAAATTCATTAGTATAATCTCTTATTACACAAGTTGGATCCAGATATATAATGAAAATAATTCTTGACAAAGAAAATTTGTCTAAGGTAGTGTGTGTGTTTGTTGAGAAAGGCGTCTAGCTTGTCTGACTATAAATAGCTCAATGAAGATCACTATGGCAGAGGAACTCCCACAGGCACCTTGACTTTGGGAACTATGCCCCTAAGCATTCCCCCAAATCCCAGCCCTGAATTTAAAATACACAGATATGTTGTTAGATAAGTGTTGCCAAAGAGCTACAACCAAGCACGCATGTTTTTACCCATTTTGGCCTTAGGGATTAAACTGTCGAGGCATTCACACTGATCTCAGATCAGGGGCCGCAACTCTGTTTGTGTCAGTGTGAGTTGCTACTGTACTGAACAACTAAATTAGACGTAAAAAGAAAATGAATGGAAACACAGAGAGGGAGAGATAGCGGGAAAGAAACATCTGGACAGGGATTAGAAGAACTAAAGGGGGCTAGAAAAAGGAGGGGTGGGGTGAGGGACAGAAAAATGGTAAAAGCTTAACGCACAGGGTTAAAGGAGGAGGTTGAACGGGAAGGTGGGGGAAGGAGAGAGCAGCTCTTACTTGAAAGAAGCCGGGAGGCATGGGTCCACCTGGCATGCCATCGTTGGGCGGCATGTTGCCCATCACAGGACTGGGAGCTGCTGCCGCACTCTGAAAAAGAGAAACATGCAAAGCCTCGTCAAAAAAATTGATTCGAATAGAATAGAAAATTGCACCTTTCAGCCACTCAAACTATTCTTTTAAAGTTTTTTAAATTCCTCTTCTTCCATTAACGATTCCATTATTCCAAACTGACAAGATTCAGATTTAAATACAACAACATTCAACTAGAATCTCTTGTCAAATATGTGAGCTACTCTTTAGGTTGAAGCCTGGGCCCCCCAACACCCCAGACAAAGCAAAACTCAGCGGTGTCTTTCCCATGATGGTAAAGAAGCGGTAGACGGGAATTACACACGACCCAGCGCCCCCTCCTCCAACCTGTAATCAGATCCCTCATTCTCGTCTGGGTGGAGGAGGATAAATCGCCTCACTGCCGCTGACCTTAATAGTCCAGACACTCACCGCTGACCCGTAGAGGGCAAAGGGCACGTTTCATACACCGACATACACAGTCATAGGTATACGATTATCTGCCTTTAGCTCTTACACATTTGCAATACCATATCACCCACTAAAGCCACATACAAGTATATTTAAGATCACATATAGTCGCACACACCAACAGGACAGACAGGTTGACTTGTAGGTCCAAAGACAAATTTGATAAATTCCTCTGGGGCTTCATCCCACCAGCACCTAAGGTTGAAAAGAGCCGGCACATTATTTTAAATGCTTTTCATGACCGTCGGTTCTGGTAACGATTCTCAAATGTCTCAAAATGTATGCTGCTTTAAATGCTCAAGCTCTTTAAAGTCTTATTGCGGTGAATGTTTAAAATTCGAAAATTCAATTATATAACTCTTTGTCATTATTGTTACAGTAGTTGTGTGGACTTCCATATTCTCACAGAATTTGAACGAATATTAAAACGTTGATGTTGTAGTATAGTCCTAGCTGTGGACGATACTAAACGTGTTTCTCGCACAAAACTATCGTATAGCTTCAGAATACTTTTTTCCACTACACAGTAGCAGCTCGACTCGACTCGACACGACTCGAAAAGTTTCGGGTACTTTTTTTTGTACCACCTCCAGCGAGGTTCTGAGCGAGCTAAGGCGATACTAAAATGTGATGTGAAAACAATACCGACTGCTGATTGGTCAGAGAGAATTGTCACCATTCACTGCGTCATCATTACACGCGCCAGATGGAGTATCCAGAATAACCCCGCTATTTTTAAATAGTTTGGCCAGAGATATATAGTTTATTTACTAAACTAAATAGTATTATTATGTCAGCTCGAAAGAATACGCCGTGGTCAAACGAGGAGGTACAGACTTTCCTTTGTTTGGTGGCCGAAGACAGGGTCCTGCGAGAGATTGATGGGCAACGAGGAACGAAAGGCGTCGCTATGATGACCGGGTACTATTTGTGGCGGAACTGTCTGCAATGGAAAACGTAACGAAAAGCGAGCCAACTCGAGCCGAGTCAAGCTGGTACTGGTAATGGAAAAGCTCGATTATATGATACTTTTATGAAGCCTTTTAGAGCTTGAAAGCCTTTCTTTATAATGACAAATAATAGCATGAACATAGTTGTGTGGAAATTAGTCATGGTTGAGTAATTGTCCGAATTTTCATTTTTAGGTGAACTTTCCCTTTAAGACATTGACAACTCAAAAGCGCCAGCCACAACTTCCACAAAAACCCGACAGATTTACATATAATTTATATACAAGCACGCACTTTCTCAAAAACAAGGGAAGAAAAATGGTCCGGAGGCTGGTGCTGGGCAGATAACAGGTGAGGTACGGCCAGTCGCCGTGTTTGCTTGCGGTGGAGGGACTGGCGAGTGTGTTTGGTTAAGGAGAGGGAGGGGCTGAGTGACAGATCGGGCTGGAGAGATTTTATTTACACAGTGGCTGGTGTAGGTTTAACCGGCACAATATCTCCGACTCTATTGCCACACCATATGAATGAGTGAAAATGCAAAAGGAGGGTGGATAAATACATTCATTAACACACAGAGATGAACTAAAGGAAAAATCACTGGCCAGAATGACCAGTGGCCCATCAGCGGTAACAGGAGTCGTCGGTAGCTCACACGCACACAGCGCAACTCCACTGCACTCAGGTAGAGCGGCAGAGGGCCCAATCGGCTTGTTGCCATGACAACTCAGACCTTGGCTCTCCCGCTCTCTGGTGCCCATTAAAACCCTCAGGCCGTCAATCACTCGCCCGGCCAGGGAGCGAAAGAGAGGGAGCGCGAGAGAAACCGAGAGAAGAGAATGAAGATAGAGTTTAAAGGAGCCTGTGGCTTTTGATTGGCCTGGCTGCTACTGCTATCTCTCTCCCTCTCGACCACATAAACAGACATATTCCAGTTCCTGTTAACACTTCTTATGCCGTGCTTTGCATGCTTGCCCAGCCCTCATCCCTTACAGCAAGAACATTACACATGAACTGATTTTCCAAACGTGTTACCCTTTAAGGTGCGGTCATATTTAGCATTGTTGGTGAATTTTCACTGTAATTTCAACATGAATCCATGCAAGTGGGAATTTCACATGAGGGCGAAAGATTTTCCCACGCAACTTTAGCAACGGGCTTCAATTAGTCCCAAAAGTTTGCCGTGCTGACAAACTGAAAACTGCTTGGTCTGAAAGTGACAATGCAGCTTTTTTGGCCAATAAATGATGCTGAAATTTAGCTAATATAATTGCACCTGACATGATTTCAATAAAAAAAAAAATAAAAAAGCAGATAATTTTATTATCATTAGCAATAATTTTCAGATCATTGAAAAACAAAGTTTTATAAAATTATATAAAATATATATAATGTGTGTGTGTTGTTTTCATTCAATTTTAATGATCATTTTCCACTGCCAACAACATGACATGCTTATGTGCATGTAGATTTCACTATTTTGGGAACAGTATTACAGCAGAAATAAAGCTCATCATAGACTCAGCAATGAATGTACCTAATTAATTATTAATAAACCATGAATAATTTTGGTGACCTATATGTTCACCTAGCGTCCACACATATACACAAGTCCAAACCCTCTGAAGTAATTAGCCACTGCTGTTTTAATTATCAGTATCAATCGTAGGGCTCGGCTGGGCAGCAGACAGCGGAGGAAAGGCTTAATCTGGGCATCGATCTGGAGCAGGGATCCAGGATGAGGAATGGATCCTACCTTATCTGTGCTCAGACAAGCAGGGTAACCCAGATCAACGACCGACAAACATGCACACATACTCTAGTAACAAGTCACAGGCCATTCAGCATATGCTGAGTGAGCAATACACTGGCTCAGAAATGGACATGCAAGCATGGAAGTCGTCTTGATGTATTAACACAAAGTCAAGTCACCTTCATTTATATAGCGCTTTTAACAATATGGACTGTTTCAAAGCAGCTTTACAGTGATAATAGGAAGTTAAAAGTAACAGAGATTGCTTTGGCTTTACAGCAGCTCTAGAATAAAGTTATTGTTCAGCTAAAGTTAGTTTTGATTGATTCACTTCCGTCGCAACGATCATTAGTTAATTTAAGCGGACGCTTACGCAACATCGTTCTAACAGAAAACCATTAACGCGCTCCGGCCGCTCATTTGCACAACAACAGCGCCTGGTGGCTCAAAAACGCAAACCTGCCCATAACGCGTGGAAACAGGGCAACAATTTGGAAAAGTGGTTCCTCAAAAGAGTCTGTTTGCACCCGTGTTGTTCACTCAGCTGCGCTTAATAGCACAGAATTAATAAAAAAATATACATATGACCCACATTCTGTTTTCTATCATGCGCCAAGAACGTTTGCGATGGCGTAAGATGCATGCAAACACACCAGGGTTCAGTAGAATTAAGGGCCCGTCCACACGAAGACGTGTTTCGCTGTATACTGTATGTATAAATTTTTTATCGTATTGGCATTTCGTTCACACGGATCTGGCGTTTTGAAAAAAGTGAAACCGCTATTTTTTGAAAGTGGATAAATCTGAAAACGACACCCTTGCGGTTTCGTGTGTATAGCCAATTCGTATATTTTGAGAAACGATGATCACGTGTCGGCTGCGTCACACGACATCTTCGTCTTCTTGGTTCGTATACAGCGCGCAAGTTTATGCGTATGCTCAAAGTCTTCCTTTCTGTGTATAGTGTATCTCTGTGGCAGAATTACAGCGCCCCATACTGGCCTGGCATATATACTACACCGTTTTCAGTCGGTTAGAGTGGTTTCGTGTGTATGCGGATATTTCTTGAGACGACGCAGTGTTTACGGATTTTTTTTTTAAAATGAGGAAAAAAAAAAAACAAATACGGAACGCAACGGCTTCGTGTGGACGTGGCCTAAGTTGAGTGTGAAACCAGACCAACGCTGCGGGGCGCCGGGAACAATTGCACTAAGGGTCGGACCGCAGCAAGTGAGCCCAGTGTGAAAGCACCGTCACCTGTCTCCGCAATTTTTCATATCAAAGCAGTGTAGGCGGGGGAGGGGGAAGGAAGAGGATGGCAGATTAACCAGTAGGGCGCACACAGCGCACAGACTGGTGTGAATTACACCGACGGGAGACGAAAAATAAATATTGGCGTCGACTAATTTGAATGGTCGACTAAGTCGACTAATCGCGGCAGCACTAAAATGGTGGCTGCTGTTTGTTTGCAGAGGCTCCACAGCGGCATTTAATGCATTTAATTATAACTGCGTTTTAGTTTGCGTTATTAGGATTTATAATGGATTAAACACATTTTTGAACAGCAAAGCATTGTGTCACAAAATTACAGATTAAATATTCGACAATTTGTGCAAACTCCAATTGTTTTGCAATGCTATTGATTTTATTTGTCAGAAATATTGTTAATGTAATATCCCTAGTCCAAATATGAAATTGTTTTGAAAACATGCCCCAAATAAACATCCAAGATACCAGCATTCTTCCCACTTACTGCATTTCCATACACTCGTTGCTTCCTCTGCTCTTTCTCCCAACATCCCACAGTTCCAATAACTCAGTCAGTGAAGTTGACTCCATAAAGATTA